AGAGTTGGATAAAGAGAAATCAAATCAGCAAAGGTGATGGAACAAGGTGGAAACAAGAAGATCAAGACCTTATCAAGTTGTTAGAAGAGGGAGCTTAAGCCCTCATTCAGAAGCTTAAGCTCCCTAAAAACGCAATTGTCACTGCCCATGGGCGCTTAAGCCCCCAACTCAGGGCTTAAGCGCGCGACCAGAAGGAATTTCCAAGTCTAGGAGCGCGCTTAAGCGCGAAAACACGAATCTGCAATCACCGTCCTAGGGCGCTTAAGCGTGCTACAGCAGGCTTAAGTGCCCCGTCATATCCAACTTAGGCCCATTCAACGTGTTCTATTGGGATACGAACTCTTGGCCAATAAAAGGACCATTGGGAACCAGAAATACATAACTTCACATTGCAAAACAATTCTTGGTGCTTGGAGGCAAAGGGAACGCGGAAGATTCATTGGTTCATGTTCGTGAGCGGCGGAGACGGATCAACGTCAAGTTTTCACTGGAGATATTGAAGATTCACCAATCATCCATGGAGTTTGGGGGAGCTTTTCTAGTTTCTTTTGTCCTTGATATTGTTATGTCTGGCTAGTTCTTTAAATAGTTAGGGTTAGATGGAATTCAATCAATTTATTATGCTTTGAACAATTCGTTATGTTAATTTTCCTTTATATCATGAATGAAGTTATCTGTTTTTAATGCTTTATATAGGCTTGAATCTTATATATTGATCATAGGTAAATGCATGACAATAGGGATGTTGGTGTGTGATCCATATCTGATAACTTCATCGTAAACGTTATGATTCTAGGAATAGACATAGGGTTTGCGTAATCGTTAAGATTCTTGAACGTAATGCTTGCTTGGGGAATAACCGGGGAACTAGGGTTCTTTCAAGTTTGTAAAGGTTTTAGGGTAACAAGGAATTGAGCTCTAATAACATGCGAAAGAGTTGATTAGATTGATACTAAGGACGATTAACATGAAGAAGGAATTCAAATGTAATAAAGAGATTGAAGGAAATCGAAACCCTGGCTACGTTTTTATTTACGTTAGTTAATTCAAATTTTTACTTTCTTGTTTTCTTTTAAATATTGCGATTAATTAGTTTTGCTATTTAATATTTTAAATTCAAATCCTATTTCCAACTACAACATTGATTGTCCAACTTATGTCGCGATAGTGAATTAGTGCTTGAGTATAATCCTCGTGGGAATGATCTCTTACTTAACACATTATATTACTTGTACGATCGATGCACTTGTCGTGAGTAGCAACAGTTTACTTTTGTACTCTTTTTTTAAATTATAAATTTTATCTTAAATACGACATATTAAATAATAAAAATATATTAATACAAATTATATATTTTTATTACTTAATTTATACCTTTTAATAGTTAATTTATAATTTTAAAAAACTAATACAATATTCTGACATGAAGTTGGCCTCATATTTTTATTACAAGGTATCTGGAACATGCTTGAAATCGACCCTATCTGTCTGTTAAATAATACTATCCAGCGAACACTTTCTTCATTTGTGATCCATCACGATTCACGTGCTCTGTAATATATGTTTTGTGCAATTTACACGTGTCATGTAGTAGTTATAGCTGACACGAATGCATGGCACCACAGGAATGCTTTTAAAAATTTTCCCACTAGGGTAAGTGAAATTTACTATTTTTGGTGGGCTTTTTAATCACTATAGCCTTTTTTTTAATAATTAATTACCAAATTGACCTTATTTATAAACTATTTCAAATTTTTTTTTTTTCCTCCCTACCCGGGTATATTTCTTGAATCTGAAAAAATGTTTGAATTATTTACTCGGGTAGGGAGGGGTGTACCCGGGTAAATAATCATACCCTTTCGTTGTAATCAAAGTGAGCACATGATAATCGAGCTATTAAAACAATCAGAAAACCATGCTACAACCTAAGTTTCAGCTAGAAGAGTAAGCACACTAGCATAACTTGCTTGAAAGAATGAGGAAACGGTAGATGTGTGACAATATTGAAAAACAAACAAACAATAAATCCAGTTAGAAGAGTAAACATAGTAGCGTAACTTGCTTGAAAGGATGAGGAAACGGTAGATGTGTGACAATCTTGAAAAACAAACAAACAATAAATCCAGTTAGAACAGTAAGCACAGTAGCGTAAATTGCTTGACAGGATGAGGAAACAGTAGATATGATGTTCATATTCAGCTATGATTATTTACCCGAGTACACCCCTCCCTACCCGGTAAATAATTCAAATATTTTTCCAGATTCAAGAAATATACCCAAGTAGGGAGGGGTGTACTCGGGTAGGTAAAAAATTTCAAAATATACCCGGGTAGGTAGGGGTGTACCCGGGTAGGCTTCATGGTCAACGATAAAATAGGGACAGATTGGTGTTATGTTTTCTGGAGAGGTTAAAATTTTGAAATAATTTATAAATAGGATCAATTTGATAATTAATTATTAAAAAAAGACTATAATGGTAAAAATGCCATTTTTGGTGATAATTGAGTTTTGACTAACTAACTCCTTCTATTCAAGTTGGAACATCATTCCTTCTTCGTCTTTCACGTGTTTTTTTTTTAAATTAAATTAGAATGTATTCCGATAATTTATGGTGTAAATGAGAATTATTAGTGACGAGCAATACTAAAAAAAATTATTATTATTTTCTATTTTTCATTTTTTTGGTCAGCTTATTTATTTATTTTCTGGAATAGAAAAAAATTAATTTTATCAAATATACTTTTCAATAATTTTTATTTTCTAAAATAAAAAAAAAAATACTTTTGAAAATGGTATCGTGCATATCATTAATTACCCTGAAACTCTAAAGTGACTACATTCCATAAACCAATAATTTGTTTAGTGGTATAGAGAACCAAAATCAAGGATATCTCGTATGAAACTATGAATGAACTTAGCGAGATCATGATAAATGAAATTGATACCAAAACTCAGCTCAAAATAATAAGATAATCATTTTATCATCTTCATTTGGTCTTTCGATACAACTTCAACCAAAAATGAAATTCACGGAGTATAACTATTTTCCAAATTCAAAAACAAAATTAAAACATAACATATAACGTTCAATTCAGAAATTAAACAACAGAATCAAAATTACAACGGAAAAAAGAAGAAATTTAATGTAATTCAATATGCTTCAATACCCTTTTCAAGAAAATATTAAGAACAAAATAAAATTGAAAAACTAATGATTTCCAAACCTTAAACAGATTCAATATAACATATATAATCCAGAAAACAAGTTATAAGCATTGAAATAAAAAAGATAAGATTTAGAAAGAATCACACAATGATATATTCTGATTCACTCTTTAACCACTTGAGAACTACATCTAGACTGAGGTCAAGAATTTCATTATCCTCAAGCTTCCAACAGGTGCTTGGAGAAATCTTTTTAGAATTGGAATTTTACAATTCTAGGATCACACCTTGAACACACTCAACTTAAGTCCCTTAGGATAACTCCAATTATCTCACCAACAATTACAACAACACAAATTTTCAAATAGATGTAGGACAATCTCCCCACATTCAAAATTATCAAAAAGATTAGAAAAATATTAAGAAATGAGAGAGTAATTGAGATTCTCCTCAAGGATATGCAAAACTAGCTCAACGGGGCCAATTTCTGAATTTTGTGTGTTATGAAGTTTTCCAATGTTAATTCTTTTTCATAGACCCTTAAAATATGTTTATATAAGTTTCTTATCAAGTTACTAGCTGTTGGACATCTAATTGTTTGTGTAAAGAACCTTGGGATACACCACCCCAAAAGCTAGCTCAAAGGGTGGGAGTGCACAAGGCCTTATAAAGGCCATATTAGTTGCCCATCCAATCAATGTGGGACTATATATCTCAACACGCCCCCTCACGCAAGAGCCCTTTAGGCTAGAAGCGTGGAAATTGCACATGCCCATTTTTGGTTTACCTTTTGTGCTTTTTTTTATTTTTTAATTCCACTTTAAAGCGGGGGGACGGTGAGGCTCTGATACCATGTAAAGAACCTTGAGATACACCACCCCAAAAGCTAGCTCAAGGGGTAGGAGTGCCCAAGGCCTTATAAAGGCCATATTAGTTACTCATCTAATCAATGTGGGACTTTTTATCTCAACACGCTCCCTCATGCAAGAGCCCTTTGGGCTAGAAGCGTGGAATTGCACAGGCCCATTTTTGGTTTACCTTTTTGTGCTTTTTATTTATTTATTTTAATTCCACTTTTTAAAGCGGGGGACGGTGAGGCTCTGATACCATGTAAAGAACCTTGGGATACACCACCCCAAAAGCTAGCTCAAAGGGTGGGAGTGCCCAAGGCCTTATAAAGGCCATATTAGTTGTCCATCCAATCAATGTGGGACTATATATCTCAACAGTTTGAATTACTTAACCTTTAAGTCACTTAAGACACGGAGTAATCTATTACTTTTGATGGGATAATTGATTACTTCAAAGACTTCAGATAATTGATTATTGTTCATCAAGTAATCAATTATTTCTTCAAAAAACTCAGGTAATCGATTACTTTCAAAAAGTATTCGATTACTTCGTATCAAAAACTTAGTTTTCTGCTGGTTTTTCAAATTTAATGAAACTAAGGGACTTCTAAATGATTCTTAATGACATTTAGCATATGTATGATAATGTCTCACACTTATATAATAACTTTTGATGTATGTGTGATTTTGTATGCATGATCAAAGTGTATATGTCACTAATGCACGAGTTTATGACATATTAATGCAATCCTCAAAGAAAAACTCAATAAACTCATTTCTATAAGTTCTAAGACTTTAAAGTGACTATTACAAATGTAAGCCTAAGTCTTCTTTGGTCTTCACTTTGACTTCAATCATTGAGCCTTCTTCTACTTCTTTTTAAACTTGAAAAGCTTTGACTTCTAGCTTGACTTGCATATTTGAGCAGCCTTATCAATTTTGCACTTTGCTTTGGTCTTCTAATACCAGTTAAGACTTATTGCGATGTCTTCCATTGGATGCATCCATGTTGAGGTATAATCTATGGTTCAACAATATTCTCCTTTTTGATGATGGCAAACACTTAATTGAAAAATGGGTAGTAGCATGAGAAATCAAAAAACAAACTCCCATTAGTAAGTTGTTTGGAGATAAAAAGTCAACAATTATCATAAAAAAAATCAACATTTTCTCTCTCTCTCTCTCTCTCTTTGGAAAACATTAAAAGAAACATAAAGTAATCAAAAAATTTCAATTCCAAGATATTTCTCCCATTTTGACAACATCAAAAAGTGCTAAAATATTTCAATTCCAAGACATTTTTTTTGGAAACATTGTCTTTATCCTTTGTATCTGTCGGTTTTTTTTTATGTGTCATTGTTATTGTTATTATTATTATTATTATTATTGTAATTTTTATTTTTATTTTGTATTATGTTAATTATTTATGCTTCTGTCTTGATTTTTTTTATTGTACGGATAATCTATTATTATTTGTGCTTATAATTTTCCTTTTAATATATTTTGTTAATGTGAAATACACTCTATATTAAAAATATTATTTAATACTAAGACGTATTGGAACATATCGAAATATTAGTATTTTTGAAAAAACGTATCGACGTCGCGTGTTGGGAACGTATCGGAAACGCTGTGTCAGTATCGGTGCTTCATAAAGTAGAAGTAGTATAAACTTAGTTCCACATTATATATTTCAGGTTGTATATACTCACTAGTTCTATATGTAATATAGTCTCCGTTGTGTCGTTATGACACACGAATTTATTCCAATGTTCCTTTCGTATCTTGTTACTCTACATCTTTATTGTGCATAAAACATACACATTATGATGATCCAACCCTAAAACTTAAGTTATTAGTTGTTAGTTAGTATTATTAGCTCATGATTGATGGATGCTATCTTCCTACTATTTGCAGGCTGAGAGCCTGTCACGTAGACTGATATACATTTCTTTCACATTAAGCTGGTGTTTGTAGTTTTCCTTTTCTTTCCTTTGTTCTTAAGAAAAATAACAATTTAGAAGATCTCATATCAGAGCACTTAGAACATCAACTGGTACGTATTTTCAAATGTACTTTTTATCTTTACAACTGAAAGGGTCTCATATTAAGCATTGACTGATTGATTCTATTGTTATGTAGGCCATTGCTTTATTGGATGCTTAAGGCTGATAGGTCTTGGCCTCGCCCACAGGATGTGGCTTGGCAATCCCCTTATTTAAATTGCTTCAGCATGCAGCCAAAGCCCAGTTTACCTGGTCTTCCAGCATATCTAAATTCTAGCACTTGCATGTTTCCTTCAGTGTGCCAACGCAGAACCAAGTTTGAAAGAAACACATGTAGGAGTGTTCATTAATCGATCCAAACCGATTCAAACCGCGGTGACCGAATCAAAAAATCGATAATCGAATAAACCGAAAACCGAAAAATCGAAAACAAAAAAAAAACCGCAAATTTCAATTGGATTGGATCGGTTTTGGAATTGGTAGATGAAAACTGATCCAATCCAAACCGATCCAATATATTAATTTCTTTCTACCTACTTGGATTTTTTCCCAATCATAGCCCACAAATTTCTAAACTCAAGACCCATTAATTAAACCCAAGAAAAAATCTAATCACATCTCATCAACAAAATTTTGAGCTTCATATCTCATTGTCCAAAAAAAAAACTATATTATTGTTTAATGATGCTTTTGTATTTAAAAAAAATTACAAAGCTAATATATACAAAAGATGTTATTTGCACAATAATCATGAAACAAATTTTAGGATTTTAAAAAAACCGAAAACCGATCCAATCCAAACCGAAAAAAATTGAATTGGCTCAGATCGTATTTGAAAAAACCTCTAAACCGAATGGATGATTACATGATCAAACCGAAAGGATTGGATCGGATGATTTTTGCCTCCAAATCAGATCCAATCCAGACCGCAAACAGTTGGAGGTGCTTTACAAAATGTAAATCCCTAGTTGGAGGTGCTTTACAAAATGTAAATCCTTCGATCTTTGCAGACGGAGTTAATAATTTTTGACCACTCTGATAATAAGACAAGGTTGTGTTATGCTCCTGTCTTCCCTCTTGTACGCAGCCCAACTGTTAATGCTACTAAATTTTCTCAAAGTTATGATGTTAATGGAGAGGGACAGGCAAGTAATATGGGTCAAAAGTATCAAGCCAATTAGAGTTAACCAGAAGAGTCTGATAAGGATAATATATTTTCTGAAGGAAGTGAAAACCAAGAAGCCACAGAAGAAATCAATGCATTGCTTTATTCTGACAACGACAATGACGAAGATAATGATGATAATTGTTATGAGGTAACAAGTGCAGGTCGTTCTCCTTTGGAAACTAAAAGGACTTATATGATGCAAGAACAGTTTGAAGACATGAAAGAGGAGGTTGCTAGCTGTGATTGGCCTAACAAGAGGCTGATGTTAATGGATGGTGGTTACAATAGATCATCCCTTCCTGTTGACAATGCTAGTTTGGTAAAACTAAATGAAACCTGTGAGTGTGCCAGTGATGCTGAATCAAAGAATTCTAGTGACTGGGTATATTCTGTTGATAAAACTAAAGTAGATAGTTCAATGGTGGGCGATACCAAAATGAAAAGGGATGAGATCCGTAAATCATTGAGAGTTCTTGAGAATTTAATTCCTGGCACAAAAGGAAAGGTGCCACTATTAGTCATTGATGGAACTATTGAGTACTTGAAATTTTTTATGTCCCAAAATGGTACTCTTGGAGTGAAATATGACCAAGTATACTCACTGTCATTGGCGTTGTAGTATTTTGGTTGAAGGACATATGCAAGTTGAAAAAATGTGGTTCTTTGGATTCGTAGCTTTGTTGGTTGATAGGTTTATCTGAGCATGTTTGTTTTTCTTTTTTCTTTTTTATCCTCTTTTGTGATGCATATATATGGTAGGGAAATAAAGGTACTACTGCTGAAATAGATAGTAGGCATTGTTTTTTTTTTGAAATATTCTAATCGATTTATTGTTCTGTGATTAGTTCGATTCGTGGTGGGTCTCTCGGAATTAAGACTTTAAATTCCTTCCAAAAATGATATTGAGGAGAATCGAACACATATTCTTACTCCTACCTGTTCAATTTTCTGATGCCAACTGAACTACCATTATTATTTAATAGATAGTAGTTACTTTGCCACTGCAGTTGGAGAAAAATGCGGGATGGGGGTGTCAATTTGTTGACCAAAATGATTATCTTATAGTTTTTTTGGACTATTTTGGATGATTAAAGATCACAGATTGAACGGATGGAAATGATAGTGGCCTTCTTTGCTTAAAATGAGTACTCTTTGCCCTGAAATGTTGCACTCTCTAGGTGATTGTATGCTTGCGCATTTGGTAACTGGCGTCCCACTCTATGGAAATATCTTCGGTAGTACTATAGCAGTGAAGACTCTGTGTATCATTTACTTAATTTAGAAAATATAATATATTTTCTTTACCATTTTATCCTTTTTTGTATAGTTATTTTTTTCTAAAATCATCACTATTTTTTTTAATTTTAATAAAGGAGTACATATTACAGTAGGATCAAAGATGTGCTCCAACTCTATACCCTCCTTTTCTTTCGTGAGCTTATGCTTTTGTCCTCTCTTTCAAGGTTGCACGCATATCATGCTGGCATAAATTCTAAAGTGAAAAGAAAGTTTCGGATGTTGGACTAAGTGGTTGAAAGGGAAGAGTAGTGTTTTATCATGAGTTGCTTGGGCCCTTGGTTTGGACACAGCATTTGGGAATTGGGATAATCGGTCCCTATGGATAGAACCCAACCCTACCGTAATATTTGTGCTGACCAAAATAATAGTAAAACATTTGTTAAAATAATATAAAAAATTTATTGAAATGATTTGATTTTCTATATGTGGAACGTTACCTATAGTAACATAAAAATAAAATCTAAGGTGCAACCTTACTTTGTAGCATTGCTTAAAAGAAATGACGTAGACAACTCAGCCCCCATTATTGAAATAATAATTAAATTGGAGTAACATGGCAAAAAGCTCCATTATATATATAAAAACACTCATATCATGGGTTAACTGATAATCCATTACAAATTTACAATAAATAAATTGACATCACATCTTAACTATAATTTTATGGATTATTCCACTTATATAATATTTACTTGATCCATTCCTAATTGATATGAAATTTTATCCCTCTCATTTAAATTCCCAACATAAACAATATTATGATACTATCAACTATTAAGAACTAACTATATAAATTAATGGTACATTCCTGTATCATAAATATCAGAGACACTTTTGTTGTCATAATTTAAGATAAAAACATGTGACACAAACTAACATGTGACATAAAATAAATAATGTCCATCTCTTATTTCAGGTCGACATCAAAAAATTGATCCTGGCAAATCCGAACTAATTATATTAATTAATGCAAATAATATATATTAATACAAATAATGTATATTAACACCTAATACTTCAACATCAATTCTAACTTCTAACACTGCCTAAAGATATTCTATATATAAAAACAATAATAAAATAAATCAAAAAATCAATTTATCTTTAATAAAATAAGAAAACAAAAAAAATCTTGTGTGCTATAATAGATGAAAATAAAAGCGAGAAGGTGAAATGGAGGGGTAACTAGGTGGTGGTTAATACTAGAAAGGTACAAGCCTCAGGGAATCATGCAGTGTGTGTGCATAATGAGAGGAGAGAATTTATTGTGGTCCGAGACCACTATTTTTTAAGTGGTCCCTTAGTGTAAATAGAAGGGTAAAATTGGAAAAGAAAAAAAATAGCAGGAGTAAAATGGAAAAGAAAAAATTAGTGTTGTGAGAGGGAGCACCAAATCATTAGATAGTTCTGGAGCATATTAAATATTTCCTAATGAGAGGGACCGGTCCTGCAGATGAAATAAGAAGTTGATGTAAGAAAATAAAATTGAGCCATGTAATGAGGGATACTGTCTAAGTGTTAAGAGTCATAATATAAAATCAGCCTTCACTTACTAGTTAGCTAAGGAGTTAAAGAAGTTTTTGGGTTAAAATGACGCTTTATATTGGTATTAGAGTCTTTGAAGTTAAGTGATTATGAGTTTCACCCTTATTTTATTAATAAATAATTAAATATTATGAAATTTTTTAGTACAGATAAGGTAGACCTGATGCATCATCTACACTTCAAATCCAAATAACTTTTGCTTGAGGAAATGCATTAAAAAGATAAAATATAAAAATTATTGAAGGTCCCGTCAATTACAAAGTTGAATTTTAGAATTGAATTGATTGTTTAGATTAAGTAAACCAGAGGGACTCAAGTTGAGATACTAGTAATGCGACCGTTCCTATCTATCACTACCCATCTGCATCGGTTTAGGCACAAAGATAGTGGTGAATGAAACCTGAGAAGCAAGCCATGATGATTAGTGGTCCTTAGATAATGAAGAACACCCATCAGGGCATGATAATGCAGCACCCAAAAAGTTGTCTTGACTCTGGCATTTGTTGAATAATTGATAAGGATATTGCAGTTGACCACAGTATGAAAAAAGTTTGGCACATTCCATATTTGTCTAATGTAGAAGCTCCCCCAAATGTATATATAGTCAGAAAGAGACATGGTAGACAGTAACTCAACCCCAATGAAAGTCCAATAAATAATTTCCAAACCTTATGTTTCCAAATTATTCATAATTAATCCGTAAAAACCCAAAATTTTATTTATATCAAATTAGTATAATAATTATAGGAGTCAGGAGAAACCCTCTACTTGGTTATTCAAAGATTAGTGTGTCAATACATTATTGCTCTAAACATTTTGTCTACATTAGTTTTCCAAATACTTTGTCAAACAAATTAATTCCTTAAAAATTTAAAATGTTGTTCTATCCTAATCGATTGTGATTAATAAGGGACTTGAGGACCAATATCATCTATATACGAAGAAAGGTATATATTTTTCTTATGTTGTAAAAAAAAAATTATTTCATGTTGTAGAAATAAAAGTATAAGTAGGACTCACAAGTAAGAAGAGAGAAAAAAAAAATGATGGAACTCAATCTCTTTTTGTATGTAGGAGAGTTGTTTATCTCATGTAAAATGAGATAAATATAACTCATGAAGAAAATAGTCACAAAAGGTCACAGATAACTGTGCACAAAAAAGAGGTTTGAAGGTAATGGGATTGTGTCTGTCTACTATGAGAGTAAAGAGATTAGGATTTTAAATGTTTATACCTATGAAATTTAATCCTTTATTTATAAAGAGGGTTTATCTTTTTAGTGGATAAAGCCCAACACCTTCAAAAGCATGTGAGACCTCTCATATGGGTCTAGATCAAATGTATATTCTTTTTTATAAAGAACTAAAATTGTGATAGAAAAGAATTAATTTAATGAGGATTTTATTTTTTTATAAAGAACTAAAAATATTGATAATTAATGGAGTGACACTTAAATCTTTGAAGAAACAAAACAGAGCATTTACTATAACTATAAATATCATCCTATCGTATGCTGCATTGCATAATTAATGTTGTTATAGTTAAATAAGGATACATACATGCCTTGGCATCTAATTTATACCTTTTCGTGTAATTTGATGGTCTTGTGCAGAAATAACTGATTTGCAGAATATTCCTAGGAGGTGAACTAATTTGTGCATGGTCCAGAAATTATTGAACCCGTTTAAGGGGTTTCGGGTTAAAATTGCATCGGATTAACGCAGGTTAAGCAACTCACAAATCTTGTCTTCTTATTAGCAGACATAACATGCAATTAATTATCAAGAAGCATTTGGCCAGCATCGGATTGACCATAACGCACTGTAATAACTAATAACTGCTTCTAAAATGAATGACTAATATTTAACTAATTGTAAGCCTAAATACATCCATGGTCACTGTTACCAATTTACTATCCACAACTAGTCGTGGAGAATGTTAACCAATTTAAACTATATAATACAATTATGAGAATTTCTAGATCAGCTACAATATAAGGAATTAAGACCATCTTAATTAATTATAGATAAACTAATGGTCATATAGAGCGTATGAAAATAAAGAGTAGTTAAAGAATAATTGTTAATTTATTTATGAATAATTAATATTATCTCATATAATTTTGTTTTTATAAGAGAATTTATTCCTAATATTAAGTTACATGATTCATACGAGTATGACTTATATTTTGCATTTAAATGATGATTATTGTCAGCCGAATGCAAAGAAAGTCAATGAGGGTTCCGCTCCCCGGTGGGGGTGTAAGGGACAGCATCTATGGGATCACGACGTCTGGTATTGTCGTGAGTCTTAGATTTATTTATATTAATTTATTTATTTATTAGTAGTTTGAGCTTACGTCATTGAATAACTATTCTTATTTAGGATTTCTAAACCTATTAATTTATATTCCTCTTGTAAGTATTGTATGGTAAGGAGAATATAATAAAATATTATTAAATGTAACTTAGATGAAGTAAATCAAGATAAATCTATATATTATGTTCTTTTTTTCCTTTTCTCTTTTTTATTTTATTTTATTTTTTTAAAAAATATTTCAATTGGTTCATCAGTCTAATTCAGAATGGATCTCGAAATTAAGATTTTAATCCTTTTTCACGAAGGATACTATGAATGATTGATCATCTATTTTATGATTGTGTATCTAATTGTATGATTGTGTATCTAATTGTTCGGTCCAATAATCTCTTTCTCCGTGCTAAACAGATGTTGTCAAATTTACATAGAAAAGTACATCAGAATCAAATCGCTTAAGATCGTGAGTAGCAATGAAAGATAATTACTAACACAGAAAGGTTCACCTGTTCCTTTCTCATATGACAGCCTGTAGCTGATGATTTGAAAGCATAAATAAAAGAACAGTTACTGTGTCTAAATCCATTGAACGCTTCATTTATTGGTTATCTTGACTTGTCACATTATAATTGTATCACTATTTGCACGCAGGATGACAAGATTTAAGTTGGAACATCTAATCATGTTTCTTCATTTACGTTCTGGTATAACTTTTTTATTTTTAAAATAATTTTCAAAGCTAAGTTGCACAAGTCTTTTCAATTTAGAGGCTTGTCTAATTTGTAATCTTATACTTTTAATTAAAGCAATCAACCTCTTAAATTTGTAAAATTATATAAATATTATCATATGGTACTATTCTATTTAAGTAAGAGAAATACTTTGTAAAGATTTGATTATTTATTTGTTTTCAATTTATACTTTTTTTACCATTTTATCTTTTCCTTGTGAACCTTTCGTAATGTCTTTCGTCTGGAAGCGACTTCTCTCATATAGTAGGGCTCATAAGATATTATAGAAGAGTAGTCAATAACTATAATTTTTAATTTGTCATCCAAAATTGAGACGAAAAATGGAGAAAATTTTGAAATATCAAGAGTTGGCAAAATGATATCATTAATATATATTTAAAATAAATATTTAAATAATGTATATTTAAAATTATTTTTCAAAATAATACAATCAGTTATATGAGAATAGAGATGGCAAAGTGGAGTAGGGTGCCCGCCCCACCTCGTCATCAACCGACCAAAAAATGAGTCAACTCGTCCAATTTCGTTTTTGAAAATGAGCTGAAAAACTCAGCCCGCCCCATTCAAATCATCATTTAGTTAATATTTAAATTTGCATTATTTGAATGATTTATTTTTAAATTTACATTAATTACGTCCTTTTGCCATCAAGAATTTACATGAAAAGTATTATTTATGTTATGTTAATATGTTCTATGTTCTCTACTATGTATCAAATAATACTTAGTGTAAAAAACTAATTCAATCCAAAAATTAAGTTTAACCTAGTAGGTGAGGGTCTTTTTAATGGTTTACATTATTCTCTAACACGTCCACTCACAAGAGACCTATTGAGTTTGAAAGGTCCTCTCACAAGAGAGCCTATTGAGTTTGAAAGGTAGATGAAGAAAATGTCACAAGAGACCTATTGAGTTTGAAAGGTCCTCTCACAAGATAGCCTATTGAGTTTGAAAGGTGAATGAAGAAAATGAGAGGTGACGATGATCAAACTGTTGGAGGTTATGAGTTTAAGAGATAAGGGTTTAGAGGTGCTTAAAGTATTAGACCAAGAGACATCAAGTTTGAAATGCTCAACAGTATTACCTCCAGCTTAGGAAACCTTAGATATAATGTAAGCTATTGGGCTACAGCCCATATGGACCCGAATAACCATGTTTTTACCTATTGGGCTTATATGTGAACATACTATTGGATTATATTATTAATATACCCAACACGAACTCAAGACATGAGAGTCTAATATCATATAAAAAATCAATTCAGCCCAAAAATTTAAACTAATAGATGAAGACTTTTTTAATGGTTTATACTATTCTCTTGAGAGTTAGTTTTGCCGTATGAAAGAAATGTGCATAATAGCAAAAAGTTTAGCTTTGGAGCATATTGTAACACAAGTATATAAAAAACTTTAAGTTGTTCTTGAAAAAAAAATGTAAAAGAAGAAAAGGCCCCGTATACAGTCCAAAAGAAGAAAGACAATCAAATATGACCAAAAAGGAAGAAGTATGGAACACACAAGTTCATATGAGAGGTATTACTTCCTAGGCATTGAGAATTTCATGTCTCTCAAGATATTGAGTTTCTCCATCTTCTAGTTGTCTTTCTGTTCTGTTCTTCTGAAATTGGAATGTGAGTTGCCATCTCATGATTTTCAACATTTGTCATTTTTGCAAATTTGCTTAGTTTCTTCCACCCACTGCTCCATGCTGATGTGTGCTTCTGCTTTAGCATCTTATCGAATTGTCTCTGCAAATTCTCCATATCATTTTGAAGCTCCAAATACTTAGTTTTCACACTCTCAAGTTCAAACTTCAGTGTGTTAATATCTTTCTTAGCTGCTGCCCATCCTTCTTGGAATGATTGTGGTGTCCCTTCAAGAAGTGTTTTCCGGTTTGTAAGCATTGGTTGATACTGAGATTCCATACCTTCTTTCGTAGTACTGTTTGCTAGTGCATTGCTTATCTTTACTTGTTCAGAGAATAGAACTTGCACCACTACCCTTAATGGAAGCCTTTCATTTTGTGCAGCATGCATGCAGGCATCAATGGAGAGTTTCTGACAATCCATTACACGGCAGAGCCGTTTCCTTTCATGCTCAGTTAGTGTTGGGTGTGCCTGTTAATTTGTTTCATAGATTAGAGGTAAATAAGTAGAAACTCATTGGCAAATGTGAAGCTAAAATACTAAATATTCCTACTTATCCCTCTAGAATGAGTTAAAACACACATGAATTATGTAGTTCCTCATATTTATTTTTGCAAACCAATGAATATATAGCTCTAACCTTTTCTATAAAGAAATAATTATGCACGAGAAATGATTGATTTTATGTTTACTGGGCTAATATCTGTGATATAGTACATAACACCATATATCCCAAATTATGTCTCATCAGCAAAACTTATTCTGTAACTCAAATGTATTGCAGAAAATCTTATTCATGTGAAAGAACTAAACAACCAAAGTTTGAGCTTTTTTTTATCTCATGTCACCGAGAGATATTTGAGATCGAGGGCATTGATGGTGATTTTCCCTCTTCTTCTTTTTTGGACTATTAGCATAAACGAGTACATAACTTCAATGGTAATTATTTCTGGAACCTGAATTAAATGCATTTATTCAGATTTCAGGATATGCATATAAGCTATGCATATCTTTGCTTCACCAAAGCTGCTGAAACCAATTAAACTTTGCCTTAAATGTGATGGAAATAGTAAGCATGCTAAGTATGAGACTCACAGTTCTAATTCAAATTTTACCATGAAGCTTTACTTAAATTGCATGTATTCTAGGTAATTCAAAATCACATAGTTAAGAAACACGAAACACTTGTTCCATTATTCCCTTGGAACAGGAATAAATTACCTTAAGATAGGAATCAATTGCTCTATAAAGCCCATCATCAGAGGTCCTAGCTGACTCAGGCAAAGTTTCTGCAAGAACCTGAAACTTTGTCAGGGAAAGGTTTCTATCTCTGGAAACCTCTGTGAGATAACTGTCCACAAGTCTTGCCACTCTTGCCTTTGCATTTAGGTTACTTCCCATATGCTTATCAGAAAAGATTTGTCTGCTTGGACTGGAACTTTCAGTCTGTTCTTGAACAAGAAAATGCTCTAATAGCCTCTGAACAAGATCCACATCATAAGCAGTCTCACTTTTATTATAACAAGGAATTAGAAGATCAGCCAGTGTAGCTTGCTCAAATTGCATTCCCACCCTTTTCTCTAATTCAGTAATTAATGCAGGTGCTACCTTTAACATGTTTGCCATTCTCAGAAGCCTAAGCAGGAAGCTGCATGAGACACTGTCCTTCTGTGGTGGAATTATGCTGATGAGGCTCTCAATGATCATCCTTTGATCTTTAGCTTGAAGACTTGAAGTGTCATCTCTAGTTCCTGCCACAATCATATTAACTCCACCTTTCCAGCTACCGCCGCCGCCGCCATCACCACTACTGTTACTGCTGTTGCTTGTTTCATCTCCTGGGATTGTTGTGTCATTCATTAATCCTGGTAGCCACTTAGTTGCATAATGCATGATTCCAGCACCAATCAATTCAAATCTCATACCCTTTACCTTAATGGCAGTAATGACTCTAACAAAGTGATCAATCCTAAGGATTGAAACATCTTCAAACCACCAATCAGGAGGAACCTGCTGATTCCTACTAGGGCTTGAATCTTTCCATTTTGGGCTAGAAACTTTTGGTGCTCTTCCAGTATAAGACCACCTTATTCCCTTTGGATTAGCACAAGCTTTCCATGCTATAGACTCACTGCATCTTCGGACAATTTGAAGGTTCTCAGCCCATGGTGACAGCTTCTCACAGCTTTTCAACACTATTATGGAGTCTCTCCATGAAGACAAAACCACATAGCTAAGAAACGCTTCTGTCTTGAATATAAGATTGCCTTCTTCTAGGTCCTCTGTCATTTCAAGATACTCAGCAGCACATCTTACTCCAGAGATATTGCCTGCTGTGAAATCAATAGCAATTCCATAGCAGAACTTGGCTGCATGTTCAAAAGCCTCAGCACCTCCAGGGAGATCATCTAGAACTAGCTTATTCAAGTCAGGGTCGTGAGAATCATATATGATTCTGTTCACCTTTCCACTTCGAGATAGCAAAGGATACTTTCACAAGAAAGGGGAAGAAAAGTTCATAAAATTCAACGCAGTACAAGTCATTAGTATCTGATCTCTTTATAAAATATCCTATTTTTTAGAAAAGGAAAAAAAAAAAGAAAAAGATAGGTACCTTGTGCAAGTGGAATTTAGCTTCTCCAATTTGAACTAGAAGGTCACTTGGAATATCAGCTGAAACATACCTGCATGTGAAAAAGAATAAACGTTTAAGCAGCTTAAATGAAATGAATAAATCAACATATCAAAACAATATTATCAGAAGTTATAATATTTATTTTCTGCCGTGTGTTCTAAAATTTCAAGTCACTAGCATTAGCACAGAAGATTTTGTGGCAGTGACATCTTCAGAAGTTACTATTTCTGCATTGAACATAACATACCAAGAGTTGTCTCTTTGCTGAAATCCTTCTGTCTTGACACCATGTTTGGTTGAAGTGAGAAGTTCACCCCCATATTCCCTTCCTGCTGCTGTTGACTCACTCTCTGATTCCCACATGATGAAAACCAGATACACTGAATAATGTATTGGGCTAGATTGTTTTACTCAGGAAAGTGGCTTTTAAGTCAGAGTCAGAACAGGAAAATAAAAATGAGCAAAAGGGTAAAGAGAAAAAATGACCAGACAACCAAAGTTGATGGAAATTAAGGAGGAGGAACCCACATGCTTGAAATTATCTCAAAATTGTCGGTTTCTTCACACACCATTTCAAGGAAATCTCACAGGCTGTGCAGTAATGGGCATACTCAGGAGTTTTGTTGTGAATGATCATCTGAGGTTCTCTTTCTTTCTTTCAGCTTTGGATTTCAGATACCATCCATGTGTATAGGCAAAGTGCCATTTTCTTTATGCCTGACCATACATGTCTCTTCCTTTTCAGTTTATTTTCTTATTCTTTTGTGTGTTACTGAATATATTACAATCCCAAAAACATTCCTTTTCATGATGAGAAAGAATCAAAGACGCATTTCCGTAAAAGGACTGACTGTTTGTAATGCATGGAATTACTAAGCTGCCACTTGATTAGTCAAAATGATTATGACTTGTGTCTATATGTTCTCTCTCCTTGAAGTACGAACTCATACATTTGGCATTTTCACAACCTTGAGCTTGTGACAAACTCCACACATGCGGTATTGACTGGAAGCTTGCAAATGATAAATAATGAGCTGTCCCATGATAAGAAAGAATTGTGTGTATCGGGTAGTTCTTATGACAATGTTACATACAAAAAATTAGTTCAGCCCAAAACCTTAAGATGTTGGTGATGATTTATATTATTCTATAACACTCCCCTCACGTAAGAGCCTTTGGGCTTAAAGCGCGAATATTGCATAGCTCAATTTTTTTGGTTTTACCTTGTGCTTATTTAATTCCACTTGAAAGTGGGGGGCAGTGAGGATCGAATTCGCGATCTTATGGTCACTGAAGCTTTGATACCATGTAAAGAATCACGTCAACCCAAAACCTTAAGGTGTTGGGTGATAGCCCTTTAAATGGTCTATATTATTATCTAACGGTATAAACCAAGGCCCTTAAGAAGTTTTCCTGATGTTATGAGATGATAATCAATAAAGAGGACGAGTGTGGTGTTTAACGGTCAAGGTGGTTCTCCAATTGAACAGAGTAACAAATCATGAATATATTAGGACAATACCCTCCTCTGTAATGGAGATGGCGTATTTATAGATGAGGTTTGGCATTTAATGCGGTGAGGAAAAGTGAGGTTGGATGAGATGATTTGATCTGTCATCCCCTGTATTTGCCATGCTTGAAGGCGTTAAGGCCATTATTCAGCGTACTATGGTTGTATGATTCTGTGATTTGGGAGAAAAGTCACCTAATTCCTCAAAAAGAGAGGTGATGTGTGGGGTTTTGGGTGTGGACTGGATTGTTGGGTCTGTGCTTAAGGCCAACCATTTGGGTTGGCTGGAATAGAAGCCCCATAGCTTAATAGCCTACGGAGTTGGGGTGTTAAGATGTATCAACCTAGTATAGGAGCGGATGTACTAACTGGGTTGTGGAGGGGGGCAAGCATGCCTTGATCGTCGTCAATAAGGGGAAATGTGTCTATTCGGTCACCAATGATAAGGTGTTGCTCGGTAGATGTCTCCTATCGCAGGCTTCTTATACAGTCGCCAACACTATTTTGTTATCTTACTTATGACCGCTTGAGTGTTTTTTTGTTTCTCTACTTTGCAAGGTCTTGCAAATGTGTCATTTTGTGTAACATATTGTACGCTTCTTAACTTCGATTCTTTATGGCTGATCGTGGCCACGTGTGACGTTTTGAGTGGAGGAAATCCCTTTTTTAATAGCTTTTCTTTTGCCTGATATAGAGGTTACGCTTTAGCTTCTGTTGCAAAAAATGCGACGTGGCGAGGTGCATTTAATGCGATGTAGAAGTGTGTTTCCTTAAGAAAAGATAGGATTGCCCTTGATCTGCGCCATCGGTTTCAAAAAACTACCCTATATCTAATATTCCTTGTCTGCCCAATGATCTTATTTAGGAAGATTGTCTTCCCTCTCATTTCTCTTTGTTTTCTCTGATTTCTTGCTTGTCAATGAACTCTTCTCTCCCTCTTCACCTTATTCATGCTTCCTCTTACTAGGGCCTTTGGTTTTATCTCTTTTCGTTGATGTCATATAGAAGTTGTGGACTTCATTTAGTATGGCGTTTTGGTTGTTTCTCTTCCAAACTCATTATTTTTAGCAGGTATACAACTTTTCCTTTCTTTTGTTTTTCTTTCTTGTTTTGGCTATTCTTTAAGGGGGAAAGGGTTGAGTCTGGTCATTTCCTGTCAATGTCTTTGATGGAAAGGTGAATATTGAGGAGTTTGATTTGAATGAGGTAAATGTTGGGTCTCAAATTCGCAAATTGTTTTTTCGCCATATAGAGGTTATGGGTAGAATAGTGAAGTCATTTCACAGTCCTCCACTACCTACTATGGCAGAGAGATGGGATAGTAGTTGTCAAGGTAGTGAACCAAGTGGCAGTTCTGGTGGTGTTTTTGGGTTAAGGGGAGTTTAAAGGCCTTATGGTAGAATCCATGAGTTATTAGGCTTACAGGAAGAAGAGGTTCATAACATGTTTCTTCCTCGTCATGGTCGTAGAGGAAGTCAGAATAGAGGAAGAAGGCAGGGAAACTCTAGGGGTCATGGCGGCCAGACTGGGCGCTTTGATGGATGAGTAGGTTAGCAGTCTGGTCGCCATAGGTATCAAACACGATGTACTTTTATCTTGAGCCTTTTTTGTAACATAAAACGTTACCCTAGAAATGGCCTTTTACTTATGCTCTTTCATCGCCCCGCTCCTCCTCCTATTCCCAGTCACGTTGTCGGATATATTCCTCAGACGCCAACCTCTTTTCATCGTCGAAAGATGGATGAGTCTAAAGAGAACCGAGAGGGTAGATTGCACCCTGAGGATGGTCGAATAAGGCGTTATGGTATTTGGGATGCCATAGCCAAGGATTTACGATTATATGAGGTGTTGCTAGCTTGGTTCCCTAGTGAGCTGATCAGTTCTAATTCGTTTGCTTCAATTAATTCTTCTTCTAGTGATTTCTCAAGTATGCCACACATTATATCCTTAGGGGGTGTTTGGTATGGAGAATGTGATAAAAATGCAAGTATAATTTTGTTCCCATGAATCTGTTTTTCAACATGACATTGAAAAAAAATCTCATTTGAAAGATGGTATTATTTTTTACCTATAAACCATGAAAAGCATTTTACATTTTTTAGACAAAATTGCCCTCCAGATGTCTTAAAAATTTTGTGGTAAGAAACACGAAGTCGTCATTTTGCTTCAAAATCACATCAAAATTTTACCACCAACCAAACACAATATTAGTAAAATTAACTCAACTTTCCTGGTATAATTTTGGCATACCAAACACATTTTCATAAATTACCTAGGAACTATATTCCTAGAAATCTTTAGTTTTCTGTAAAAAAAATATCTCCTATACCAAACACCCCTTTAATGTTTATTTTTGTCTTGGGGTAGTCTTGGCGATCAACGAGGGTTGGGACCTGTAGGGGAGGGGGAGTGAAGGTTTGGTCATAACTAGCTTGAGTTAGTCTCATTATGTTTTGTCGAACTCTTCAATGAGAAATTGACCTTCTTTATCTTCTCCCAAAGTTTATTAAACACCTGTCTTTTTGCGACTTATTGTGCGATGAGTGAAAATCAGTGTTTCGAATGGAGGCGAATTGGGAGAATAATGAAGCTCTGGCGACCGCTTTGACTTTTAGCAGTGGGCTTATTTTAGAGGGTGTCTACACTTATAAGAGGCATTTTTGGCTTACAGATCAGGATGCTGAGGAGAAAAAGTGGATTCTTCGATAGGTGAACAAAGAGACTAGGATTATTGATCAAGCTGCTCTGATCGGAGTCGATGAGCCCTTTTATATTATGTATAAGACTTACTTTACTGATATCTGGGTCAGGTTGCCTTTCACTTATTTTGAGATGGGTGTTCTACGGCATTTAAGAGTGGCACCTTCTCGGCTTCATCCTAATGTCTGGGGCTTTATCCTGACTTTCTAACTTGTTTATGATTATTTCATTTGGTAGCATAGTGTCCCTCTTTTCTTTTATTATTTTTCTGTTTCACACTCCGCACGAAAAGCTTGGGTTTCTCTCTGAGCTTCATCTAAGGTGGGGACCATTTTCATATAGTTTAATAATTTTTACAAGAATTTGAAGCACCAATTCTTTTGGGGTCACCCAATCCTAAACTGAATCTTGAACCATTTTTTATGGAGTTTGTGGCCGCTGGTCAAACCCGATCTCCTTTGTTTTGGAATAAGTTGTATCATTACATCAAACGTCATGAATATTCTATAAAGTATGGGTCTTTGTCTAAGACTGAGCGGTTAGTGGTTGCTCAGCTCAAAGCTGCTGTGAGAGAGATTGAGGAGGAATTTTCCACTAAGTATATAATTGAGAATGGACGTGAAATTATTCGAGGGATTTCCGTCAAGAATTTGGTGAAACTATCTTTTGTGTATGTATGTGTGTGTGGGTGTGAAATAATTATCTCATGTTGCATGAGATAATTATCTCATGCAACATGAGATAATTATCTCATGCAACAGAGACAAAATAGTGGGATCCACTATTTTTTCTTTTTTTCTCTTTTTGAAAAAGTAATGGACCCCTTAATTTTATCTCTGTTGCATGAGATAACTATCTAATGCAACATGAGATTAATAGATCCCTATATATATATATATGGGAGAGTTATATTTACATATATTTTGTTTACAAACTACATTATGTACTCCCTAAAGTACATTAGGTTATTTACAAAAAAAAAAATTACATTAGGTTACATTATGTATTTTCAGGAGTACATAGTATAATATGCAAAAGTTTATTAAAAAAAACTTTGTAAATGGAATCTTCGCCATATATAATACTTATTTTTGCAGTTGGCAAAATGGGGAAGGATGTGTTAAAGCTCGCCAAGAAGGCTTCTAAACTTGTAAATAAGGAAAAT